GTCCTCGATCTCAATCCTTCGCTTAAGATATTTTGTTGGTATTGAAATATAAAAGACACTAATGTTGAAGCTTGAAGATCCTGCACCATGTGACTCAACTGTACACCTATTTTTGAAGAGCATACATGTTGGTTTCTTGCATGTACATCTACATGACTTTTACTTTTGGATATCATTGAGTATATGTTCGTTTTCATTTTTAAAATTAATGATGTATTTTTTTAATAACTGTGGTTGTGGTTGTTGAAAGTTTTTGCTGCAAGTAGAAAATTTTATTTGTGTTTTTTTTTAGATGAATCTTAGAATTTACAAGTTATGAGAAATGGACACACACATATATATTAATTAGGGGTGCAACTTGGGTGAGTTAGAATTTTTATTACTTGGATTGGGCCTGGGCAAAAAATCCCAACCCGAATTGAATTTGGGCAAGCATCGGGTTTAGGCGTTAGGTTGTCGAGTTCAACCCGAATATTAAAATCGGGTTGAACCCGAATATACGTAAATATATTTAATTAGAGGTAGTATTTATCTTCGCTCTTCAGACTTCAGATTTTCACTTCACTTCAAGTCTTCGCCTTTACGCCTTCATCATTCCCAAAACCCTCCCTCACTCGTCACTCCTCCCTGTCTCACTCCCTCTCTCATCTACGGCTTGTCCTTCATCTCAGAGCACTTGAAAATATTCAATCTACACTTCAAAAAATCTACCCGAGTTAAGTAATCCAAGCCCAATCTAATTTTTAATCCGAAATCAGCCCGAATTAAGTAAGTCGAATTCAATCCGAGTCCACCTGAATTAAACTCGGGTAGTACTCAGGTAGTGTATTTAGGGTTGAAGATTATATACTTAGGGTTGGGCTAGAGATGACCTCTCAACTCGTCCGAGTTGCACCCCTAATATTAATACCACAAAACACACGCACAAATACTAATACACAAAAAACACGAGCATATTAATACTTCACACCACACATCTACACTAAGACACTAAACCACGCATGTAATGTTTACACACATTGTTAACACAGGAATACATAAAAATATACACACACTCATAAACATACTAATACATAAAAACACATACAATGTTAATACACACTCAACACAGAGTAAGTGCTCCGCGCATCACTGACGCGTCCCAGAAAACCTAAATGTGCAATATGCTAGTGTTACTCTGATTAGTGATCCTTCTCATAAAATTTAATGAACTCTTTTTAATTTTGAATAATGATTAGTTTGTGTGTGTATTTTGTGTATTTGTGTGTCTGTGTTTCTTTGTTGTATCTGTGTGTAGTTGTATTTTTTGTAGTATTAGTGTCTGTGAACAGAGCGTGTGTTTTGAATTTTGTGTTTTTTTGTATGTGTTAGTTTGTGTTTCTATAATAATGTGTTTTATTATGTTTATCTGTTTGTTGTATTAGTGTGTGTATTTGCGGTATATTTGCATGTTACCTCAATGTATGAGTGTGCATGTATATGTGGAATAGTATGTTTGTATTTTTGTGTGTTAATGTGTGTGTTAGTGTTTGTGTTTTTAGTAGATTAGTGTTTGCATTTTCGTGGATTAGGCTATGTTAACACTACGTGTGATGGAGTGTGTGTATTTTGGTAAATTAATGCTTGTGTGTGTACGTGTTTAGGTGTATTAATGTGTTTATTTTGTGGTGTATATGCGTATTAATAGAGTGTGGAAGGGTGTATTTGCGTCTTATGTCTGTGTAATAGTGTGATGTGTTGTGCTAGTGTCTTTTTTTTTTTATGTATAATGTGTGCTTTTTGGTGTATTAATTTTTGTTAATCCAGTGTGTCGGTGTGTATGTATTTTGGAATATTAGTGTGTTGTATATAATTTTTTTCTTCTTCATATGTTAGCTTGTGTGAACAATGTATTTATGTGTGTTTCAGTGATGGCATGTGCACGTTTGCGCTTGTTTGTTTATTAATTTATTTTTGTGTGTGCATGCTTTTGGTGTGTTAGTGTGCGTGTTAACACAGTGTATTTTAGTGTATTTGTGTGTTTGTTTGTGTTTTGTTGTATTATTTGGTGTGTTTTTAAGTGTATTAATTTATGTATTTTTCTGAAATACTGTCGGTTGCAGTATTTTAGTTCTTAAAATGTTTTGCTATGACTCGATGTGTAATATATCCTATTTAGTGTAGTAATAGATTAAAACAATGGAGGAAAGACCAACCTATTGAAATTTGGGAGGCTTATAAAGCCGTAGTTCAAGCATCTTATGTTGTACCTTAAGATGGTGGAGGGAGGAGGGCCCAGCCATTGAAATTTGGTAGGCCCGTGAAGTAGCAATGTGAGCGGTTGCAAATTTACCTTAAGACGAGCTTGTGACAGGTGTAGATTTTCTTTGAGTATTGTATCGTATCGATTTAGTTGTTTGATGACTCTGTTAGCATTTTCTTTTATTCTCATATTGTAAAATTTTTAATTTTCTCTGATCTCATTCCTTTGCTTAAGATTTTTTGCAGTTATCGAACTTTAAAAAACATTAATGTGGAAGCTTGAAGATCCTACATCATGTTGCTCTAGATACAAATGAATGATGATATTTTTTGTCAATAGTTATCCTGGTTCAAGTGACTCAACTGTACACCTATTTTTGAAGAGATTGGTTTCTTGCATGTACATTTACATCTATATTACTTTTGGATATCTTTGAGTATATGTTCTAGTTTTCAGATTTACCAACATGTAAGCTTATAACATTTGTAGATTTTTGCTTGAGTATTATAAGTAGTTGTTATGACTCAAAAATGTGCTATTGCTTATTTTATGTTGTACCTTAAGATGGGTGGAGGGAGGAGGCACTCATTGAAATTTGGGTGGCCCGTGAAGTAGCAATCTGAGCAATTGTAGATTTACCTTAAGACGAGCTTGTGACAAGTATAGATTTTTCTTATCGTATCGTATTGGTTTGTTGTGCGACTCTGTTAGCGTTTTCTTTTATTCTCTTATTGTAAAATTTTTAATTTTCTCTGATCTCATTCCTTTGCTTAAGATTTTTTGCAGTTATCGAACTATAAAAAACGTTAATGTGGAAGCTTGAAGATCCTAGATCATGTTGCTCTGAATACAAATGAATGATGACATTTTTTGTCAATAGTTATCCAGGTTCAAGTGACTCAATTGTACACCTATTTTTGAAGAGATTGGTTTCTTGCATGTACATTTACATCTATATTACTTTTGGATATCTTTGAGTATATGTTCTAGTTTTCATATTTAAATATTAATTTTTTTGTTTTTAATAATTTTGGTGGTGGTTAAAAGTTTTCGCTGCAAGTGGAAAACTTGATTTAATTGTGTTATTTTAGATGAATCTTAAAATTTATAAGTTATGAAAAAAGAACGCACATACATGTTAGTACAACAAAACACCCGCACGCACAAATACCACTACACAAAAAATACAAGCATAATAATACACCAAAACACACGTCTACACTAAGACACTAAACCACACATGCAATGCTTACACACATTGTTAACGCAGTAAATGCATCAAAATATACATACACACACATACACCTACTATTATGTAAAAATACATACAATGTTAATACACACACTCAACAAAGCGTAAGTGCTCCGCGCATCTCTCACACGTCCCAGCCAATGTTATTTAAGGTGTAAAGCGAATTGAAGCGATCCGGTTTGTTGAAGGCCTAGGCAAGAAGCGAGAAGCGAAGCGAGCGTTTCATCGAAGCAAAGTGAACAATATAAAAAATAAGTAAATATTTTAGTTTGATACTTTAATTATTCTTAAATATTTAAGTTTTTAACTTTACAAGTACAAAATATTTCAATGCAACTATAATAATCATCAACAAATTTTAAATAGACGAGATATTAAATATTGAACATTATTGCATTCTTAAAATAATCATTAACATAATCGCGTCATCTAAATGTAAAGCTAGCAAATTTGAGTTCAATTTCCACCATGATTGATTAAATATCACCTATAAATAAAGCACTCACAAATTGATTTATCAAATAGAACTCATAGCAAATTGATTAACAAGAACAGTCACATTAAAACTGAGCGTTCAACATCATCTAATCATAATAAGACAAATTGTCATATGATACTGTTAGATGAATCAATCAATTTATTTTATATATAAACACATATGACATAATCTCTGCTAGAGTTTAGTTAATGTTAACAAAGAAATAGGAGGAGGAAGGGGAGGGAGGAGGAGGAGAAATTAAAAAAAAAACTTCAATCACGTATTCGCTTTTTTTGCTTGGCTCGCTTATTCGCTTCGTCGCCTAGGCTCGCTTTTTTCTTACTTTAGTTAACCTCGCTTCGCCTGAGATGTTCAAGGCAATCAAGGCTCGCTTCTCTTCTCGCTTAGGCTCGTTTTTCACAACAATGGTCCTAGCAAACCTGAATGTGCAATATGTGTGTTACTTTGATTAGTGATCCATCTCGTAAAATTTAATAGATTTTTTTTTAATTTTAAACAATGATTAGTTTATGTTTGCATGTTGTGTATTTGTGTCTATGTTTCTTTGGTGTATCTGTGTATGGGTGTATTTTTTGTGGTATTAGTGTATGTGAACAAAGCATGTGTTTTGAACTGTGTATTTTTTTTGTCTGTGTTAAATTGTGTTTCTATAATAATGTGTTCTATTGTGTTTATTTGCTTGTCGTATTAGTGTGTGTGTTTGCGGTATATTTGTGTGTTAACACGACATGTGGGTGTGCTTTTTGGTGTTTTAATGTGTATGCATTTGTGTTTGTATAATAGTGTGTTTTGGTATATATCGGTGTTTGTGTTTTTGGTGGATTAGTGTTTGCATTTTCGTGGATTAGCCTATGTTAACACTATATGTGATACAGTGTATGCATATTGGTAAATTAATTACAAGAAACAAGGAAGGGAAACAAATCTCTATTACACCTCCAAATGAATGGCTTTAGTTCTTCAAAATAAGACAACATGTCAAAATTTCTTTTACATGGAACATCAAACTACCAAATCTGCCCAGTCACAGAGTACGAAGCACAGAATGGTTCACTCGCAAGATCGGTACTCCTCTCTGATCCTGCACCACCAGCATCCTCCCCATACCTGGTATGAACCCACACCTAAGAACTCAGAGGAGACCCTGTCCNTTTTTTTTGGTGTATTTGTGTGTATTTTTTCTTTATTTTGGTGTGTTAATGTGTGTTCTTAAGTGTATTAATATCTGTGTTTTTTGTGAAATACCGTTGTGTATTTGTGGTTTTGTGAAATACCTTTTATTATAGTATTTTAGTTCTTAGAATTTTGTGTTATGACTCGATGTATAATATTTCATATCGAGTGTTGTAGTAGATTAAAACGCAGGAGGAAAGACTAACCTTTTGAAATTTCGGAGGCTCATAAAACAACAATTCAAGCAGTTTTAGATTTTACCAATAGGTGAGGTTGTAACATGTGTAGCTTTTTGCTCGAGTGTTATATGCTGTTGTTATGACTCAAAGTGTGCTATTGCTTATTTTACGTAGTGCCTTAAGATGGTGGAGGGAGGGCAGTCAAATTGAAATTGGGAGGCTTGTGAACCAGCAATCTGAGTGGTAGTAGATTTACCTTAAGGTGAGCTTGTGACGGGTGTACATTTTTCTTTGAGTATTGTATTGTATTGATTTTGTGGTGTGATTTTATTAGCGTTTTTTTTAACATTTTTCTTGTAAAATTTTTAATTATTATCTCTGATCTTAATCTTTTGTTTAAAATTTCTTGTAATTATCGAACTATAAAAGACTCTAATGTTGGAGTTTGAAGATCCTACACTATGTTTGCTCTGGATACAAATCAATTATGACGATTTTTGTCAATAGTAGTCTAGGTTCAAGTGACCCAACCGTACACTTACTTTTGAAGAGCATACAGGTTGGTTCCTTGGATGTACATCTGCATATCTATTATTTTTGAATATCTTTGAGTTTATGCTCTAGCTTTCTTTTTTAAATATTAATGATGTGTTTTTTTAATAATTGTGGTGGTGGTCGAAAGTTTTCGACGCTAGTAAAAAACTTTGATTTAATTGTGTTATTCTAAATGAATCTCAGAATTTAAAAGTTACGAAAAAAGGACACACATACATATTAATACAACAAAACACTCATGCGCAGAAACTAATACACAAAAAACACAAACATATTAAAACATCATGACACACATCTACACAAAGACACTAAATCACGCATGTAATTAGTACACACATTGTTAACTCAGTAATACATCAAAGTGTACATACATACTAATACGCAAAAACACATTAACACACACTCAACAAAACGTAAGTGCTCTGCGCATTACTAACACATCCCAGCGATCTGAAATATGAGTGTTATTTTGATTTGTGATTCATCTCGTAAAATTTATGCTCTTTTAATTTTTAACAATGATTAGTTTGTGTGTATATTTTGTGTATTTGTGTCTATATTTCTTTGTTGTATCAGTGTGTGTAATTTTTTGTGGTATTAGTGTGTGTGAACAGAGCGTGTATTTTGAATTGTGTTTTTTTAAATGTTTTTTTATGTTTCTGTAACAATGTGTTTTCATTTTGTTTATTTGTTTGTTGTGTTAGAGTTCGTGTCTATTTGCTGTATATTTACTCGTTAACACGGTGTGTAGGTGTGTATGTATATTGATTGTTAGTAAGTGTGCGTTTTGGTGTGTTAATATGTGTGCATTTGTGTTTGTATAATGGTGTGTTTTGATATATTAGTGTCTGTGTTTTTGGTGGATTAGCCTATGTTAACACTACATGTGATGGAGTGTATGTATTTTGGGGAATGNTACACCTACTATTATGTAAAAATACATACAATGTTAATACACACACTCAACAAAGTGTAAGTGCTCCGCGCATCTCTCACACGTCCCAACCAATGTTATTTAAGGTGTAAAGCGAATTGAAGCGATCCGGTTTGTTGAAGGCCTAGGCAAGAAGCGAGAAGCGAAACGAGCGTTTCATCGAAGCAAAGTGAACAATATAAAATATAAGTAAATATTTTAGTTTGATACTTTAATTATTCTTAAATATTAAAGTTTTAACTTTACAAGTACAAAATATTTCAATGCAACTATAATAATCATCAACAAATTTTAAATAGACGAGATATTAAATATTGAACATTATTACATTCTTAAAATAATCATTAACATAATCGCGTAATCTAAATGTAAAGCTAGCAAATTTGAGTTCAATTTCCACCATGATTGATTAAATATCACCTATAAATAAAGCACTCACAAATTGATTTATCAAATAGAACTCATAGCAAATTGATTAACAAGAACAGTCACATTAAAACTGAGCATTCAACATCATCTAATCATAATAAGACAAATTGTCATATGATACTGTTAGATGAATCAATCAATTTATTTTATATATAAACACATATAACATAATCTCTGCTAGAGTTTAGTTAATGTTAACAAAGAAATAGGAGGAGGGAGGAGGAGGAGAAATTAAAAAAAAAACTTCAATCACGTATTCGCTTTTTTTGCTTGGCTCGCTTATTCGCTTCGTCGCCTAGGCTCGCTTTTTTCTTACTTTAGTTAACCTCGCTTCGCCTGAGATGTTCAAGGCAATCAAGGCTCGCTTCTCTTCTCGCTTAGGCTCGTTTTTCACAACAATGGTCCTAGCAAACCTGAATGTGCAATATGTGTGTTACTTTGATTAGTGATCCATCTCGTAAAATTTAATAGATTTTTTTTTAATTTTAAACAATGATTAGTTTATGTTTGCATGTTGTGTATTTGTGTCTATGTTTCTTTGGTGTATCTGTGTATGGGTGTATTTTTTGTGGTATTAGTGTATGTGAACAAAGCATGTGTTTTGAACTGTGTATTTTTTTTGTCTGTGTTAAATTGTGTTTCTATAATAATGTGTTCTATTGTGTTTATTTGCTTGTCGTATTAGTGTGTGTGTTTGCGGTATATTTGTGTGTTAACACGACATGTGGGTGTGCTTTTTGGTGTTTTAATGTGTATGCATTTGTGTTTGTATAATAGTGTGTTTTGGTATATATCGGTGTTTGTGTTTTTGGTGGATTAGTGTTTGCATTTTCGTGGATTAGCCTATGTTAACACTATATGTGATACAGTGTATGCATATTGGTAAATTAATTACAAGAAACAAGGAAGGGAAACAAATCTCTATTACACCTCCAAATGAATGGCTTTAGTTCTTCAAAATAAGACAACATGTCAAAATTTCTTTTACATGGAACATCAAACTACCAAATCTGCCCAGTCACAGAGTACGAAGCACAGAATGGTTCACTCGCAAGATCGGTACTCCTCTCTGATCCTGCACCACCAGCATCCTCCCCATACCTGGTATGAACCCACACCTAAGAACTCAGAGGAGACCCTGTCCTGGACTGCCTGCTTGGACAAGAAATCAGCAACAGAATTCGCCTCTCTAAACACCTGACAGATCTGGAACTCCATTCCCTGCAATAAACCCCAAATCTGAGACAAAATGCCCCTTAATCTCCATGAAACCTCGACCTCTCTCAAAACCATCTGCACTAAAACTTTGGAGTCAGATTCAATAAGAACCTTATACTTCTCCAACCCACTCGTTCTGAACAACTTGAGCCCATCCAACAAGGCCAAGCACTCAGCTCTCATTAGAACCTTCTCCATTAAAAAATGCACCAGCAAGTACAACCACACCCTCTTGATTCCTGACCACCACGCACCCACCAGACATACCAGGATTACCAGCTCCATCAACATTTAACTTCAATATCCCATTAGGAGGAGGTAACCATGATACCCACACAGCCTTAGTGATTACAGAGACAGATACCTTCACTTCCAATATCTGCAACAGCTCCTTATCTCTTAACCCTTGTGTCCTCTTAGGTTTCAAGCAGTAAACCTGCCACTTCAGAGCTGCCAGTCTGCTGATACACGGCATAAGCACTCAAATTAACCTCCTCATGTCTCCTCCTACATCTCTCTTTCCAGATATAACAAAAAATCAATAATGAAACACCCCTTATCAGACCATGGCTCACAGTCTGTCTTCCAAAAATCCTAGCAATCCTCTTAAATCTGATCGGTGGGGGGGGGGACTCACCAGGAATCAAATGGAAACCCAATAAACCAGCAAATCTTTTCCAAACATAATGTGAAAAAGAACAACCAATAAAGAGATGATCAAAGGTTTCCCCATGGTGACAGCACAGACTACATCTGCTTACCAATGAAATCCCTCGCTTCTGCATACATTCATCCAATGAAAGAGCAGCCTTAAGGATCTTCCAAGTGACCAGCTGAGAACTTGGAGAAACATTTTGTCTCCAAATAACAGCAGCTGTGTCATTAACTCTCCCTCTTGCCCTTCGTAGATCCCATGCTGACTTGACTGAGAAAGCTCCAGAAGTGGACTCTTTCGAGACCAATCTATCAGGACCATTAAATAGAGTAATCCCTAGTTGAATCACCTCACTCCTCAAATCAGAATCCAAAAATTCCCAAAAATTCTGAGAGAGCCATTCTTCATTCAAACAAACCTCTGAAAATTTAGGAAATGAAGGAGGCATCCCATTAACCCTACTAACCAAAGGACCAAGACCAGTCCAGTTATCACACCAAAAGTCAACCCTCTCCCCATTACCTACTGTCTCATCTCTGAGTGCATCACCACCTCCTCAAACCCTGGAAACAAATTCCTGAAACTCCTAGAAGTTTTCAAAACTGAAATTCTCAACAAAACCTTAGACTAGAGAGAGGAACCCTTCAAAATTCCCCAAACCTCTTTTATTTTAAAGGCATTTTGAATATCCCCCAACCTCCTCAAACCAAGATCCCCCTTCTGTCTTTGGTAAACACACCTCCTCCCAAGATACCCAATGCCTCCTCTTCACCCCGGGCTTGACCAAAGAAAAGAGGTCATTAAAGATTCTAGTTTGGCCAAAATACCCTTAGGCAAATTTAGGCAAGCAAGGAAATGGGCTGGAACTGCACTCAGTACTGACTGAATCATAACCACTCTCCCCATATTTGAAAGCAGCTTGGCATACCACCCCTCAATCTTCCCCCTAAACTTCTTAATCACATCCTAAAAAAAACACAACTTTACCCTCCCCTTGATTAAAGGGCATCCTAGATAAGTAATAGGACCATCCTTTAAAGGGATACCAGCACAAGANTAATCACATCCTAAAAAAAACACAACTTTACCCTCCCCTTGATTAAAGGGCATCCTAGATAAGTAATAGGACCATCCTTTAAAGGGATACCAGCACAAGAAGCCAGAACCTTCCTTCTTGCTGAAGAATTCATGGAAGAACAAATTAAGGAGTTCTTCTGTTTGCTCACTCTCTGTCCAGAGCACCTCTCATTACTCCCCCACAAAGCTCATTAGATTCTCCATGGAAGCCTTATTCCATTGCAAGAACAAAAGGGTGTCATCAACAAATAATAAATGTCTCCTCACCACTGAACCTCTGCCAATATGAAAAGGTTTAACCTTCCCTTCCCCAAACACCCTCTTCAATCCCCTACTTAAAACCTCCTCTGCAAGTATAAAGAGACTAAGNTACACCTACTATTATGTAAAAATACATACAATGTTAATACACACACTCAACAAAGCGTAAGTGCTCCGCGCATCTCTCACACGTCCCAGCCAATGTTATTTAAGGTGTAAAGCGAATTGAAGCGATCCGGTTTGTTGAAGGCCTAGGCAAGAAGCGAGAAGCGAAGCGAGCGTTTCATCGAAGCAAAGTGAACAATATAAAAAATAAGTAAATATTTTAGTTTGATACTTTAATTATTCTTAAATATTTAAGTTTTTAACTTTACAAGTACAAAATATTTCAATGCAACTATAATAATCATCAACAAATTTTAAATAGACGAGATATTAAATATTGAACATTATTGCATTCTTAAAATAATCATTAACATAATCGCGTCATCTAAATGTAAAGCTAGCAAATTTGAGTTCAATTTCCACCATGATTGATTAAATATCACCTATAAATAAAGCACTCACAAATTGATTTATCAAATAGAACTCATAGCAAATTGATTAACAAGAACAGTCACATTAAAACTGAGCGTTCAACATCATCTAATCATAATAAGACAAATTGTCATATGATACTGTTAGATGAATCAATCAATTTATTTTATATATAAACACATATGACATAATCTCTGCTAGAGTTTAGTTAATGTTAACAAAGAAATAGGAGGAGGAAGGGGAGGGAGGAGGAGGAGAAATTAAAAAAAAAACTTCAATCACGTATTCGCTTTTTTTGCTTGGCTCGCTTATTCGCTTCGTCGCCTAGGCTCGCTTTTTTCTTACTCTAGTTAACCTCGCTTCGCCTGAGATGTTCAAGGCAATCAAGACTCGCTTCTCTTCTCGCTTAGGCTCGTTTTTCACAATAATGGTCCTAGCAAACCTGAATGTGCAATATGTGTGTTACTTTGATTAGTGATCCATCTCGTAAAATTTAATAGATTTTTTTTTAATTTTAAACAATGATTAGTTTATGTTTGCATGTTGTGTATTTGTGTCTATGTTTCTTTGGTGTATTTGTGTATGGGTGTATTTTTTGTGGTATTAGTGTATGTGAACAAAGCATGTGTTTTGAATTGTGTATTTTTTTTGTCTGTGTTAAATTGTGTTTCTATAATAATGTGTTCTATTGTGTTTATTTGCTTGTCGTATTAGTGTGTGTGTTTGCGGTATATTTGTGTGTTAACACGACATGTGGGTGTGCTTTTTGGTGTTTTAATGTGTATGCATTTGTGTTTGTATAATAGTGTGTTTTGGTATATATCGGTGTTTGTGTTTTTGGTGGATTAGTGTTTGCATTTTCGTGGATTAGCCTATGTTAACACTATATGTGATACAGTGTATGCATATTGGTAAATTAATTACAAGAAACAAGGAAGGGAAACAAATCTCTATTACACCTCCAAATGAATGGCTTTAGTTCTTCAAAACAAGACAACATGTCAAAATTTCTTTTACATGGAACATCAAACTACCAAATCTGCCCAGTCACAGAGTACGAAGCACAGAATGCTTCACTCGCAAGATCGGTACTCCTCTCTGATCCTGCACCACCAGCATCCTCCCCATACCTGGTATGGAACCCACACCTAAGAACTCAGAGGAGACCCTGTTCTGGACTGCCTGCTTGGACAAGAAATCAGCAACAGAATTCGCCTCTCTAAACACCTGACAGATCTGGAACTCCATTCCCTGCAATAAACCCCAAATCTGAGACAAAATGCCCCTTAATCTCCATGAAACCTCGACCTCTCTCAAAACCATCTGCACTAAAACTTTGGAGTCAGATTCAATAAGAACCTTATACTTCTCCAACCCACTCGTTCTGAACAACTTGAGCCCATCCAACAAGGCCAAGCACTCAGCTCTCATTAGAACCTTCTCCATTAAAAAATGCACCAGCAAGTACAACCACACCCTCTTGATTCCTGACCACCACGCACCCACCAGACATACCAGGATTACCAGCTCCATCAACATTTAACTTCAATATCCCATTAGGAGGAGGTAACCATGATACCCACACAGCCTTAGTGATTACAGAGACAGATACCTTCACTTCCAATATCTGCAACAGCTCCTTATCTCTTAACCCTTGTGTCCTCTTAGGTTTCAAGCAGTAAACCTGCCACTTCAGAGCTGCCAGTCTGCTGATACACGGCATAAGCACTCAAATTAACCTCCTCATGTCTCCTCCTACATCTCTCTTTCCAGATATAACAAAAAATCAATAATGAAACACCCCTTATCAGACCATGGCTCACAGTCTGTCTTCCAAAAATCCTAGCAATCCTCTTAAATCTGATCGGTGGGGGGGGGGACTCACCAGGAATCAAATGGAAACCCAATAAACCAGCAAATCTTTTCCAAACATAATGTGAAAAAGAACAACCAATAAAGAGATGATCAAAGGTTTCCCCATGGTGACAGCACAGACTACATCTGCTTACCAATGAAATCCCTCGCTTCTGCATACATTCATCCAATGAAAGAGCAGCCTTAAGGATCTTCCAAGTGACCAGCTGAGAACTTGGAGAAACATTTTGTCTCCAAATAACAGCAGCTGTGTCATTAACTCTCCCTCTTGCCCTTCGTAAATCCCATGCTGACTTGACTGAGAAAGCTCCAGAAGTGGACTCTTTCGAGACCAATCTATCAGGACCATTAGATAGAGTAATCCCTAGTTGAATCACCTCACTCCTCAAATCAGAATCCAAAAATTCCCAAAATTCTGAGAGAGCCATTCTTCATTCAAACAAACCTCTGAAAATTTAGGAAATGAAGGAGGCATCCCATTAACCCTACTAACCAAAGGACCAAGACCAGTCCAGTTATCACACCAAAAGTCAACCCTCTCCCCATTACCTACTGTCTCATCTCTGAGTGCATCACCACCTCCTCAAACCCTGGAAACAAATTCCTGAAACTCCTAGAAGTTTTCAAAACTGAACTTCTCAACAAAACCTTAGACTAGAGAGAGGAACCCTTCAAAATTCCCCAAACCTCTTTTATTTTAAAGGCATTTTGAATATCCCCCAACCTCCTCAAACCAAGATCCCCCTTCTGTCTTTGGTAAACACACCTCCTCCCAAGATACCCAATGCCTCCTCTTCACCCCGGGCTTGACCAAAGAAAAGAGGTCATTAAAGATTCTAGTTTGGCCAAAATACCCTTAGGCAAATTTAGGCAAGCAAGGAAATGGGCTGGAACTGCACTCAGTACTGACTGAATCATAACCACTCTCCCCATATTTGAAAGCAGCTTGGCATACCACCCCTCAATCTTCCCCCTAAACTTCTTAATCACATCCTAAAAAAAACACAACTTTACCCTCCCCTTGATTAAAGGGCATCCTAGATAAGTAATAGGACCATCCTTTAAAGGGATACCAGCACAAGAAGCCAGAACCTTCCTTCTTGCTGAAGAATTCATGGAAGAACAAATTAAGGAGTTCTTCTGTTTGCTCACTCTCTGTCCAGAGCACCTCTCATTAGTCCCCCACAAAGCTCATTAGATTCTCCATGGAAGCCTTATTCCATTGCAAGAACAAAAGGGTGTCATCAACAAATAATAAATGTCTCCTCACCACTGAACCTCTGCCAATATGAAAAGGTTTAACCTTCCCTTCCCCAAACACCCTCTTCAATCCCCTACTTAAAACCTCCTCTGCAAGTATAAAGAGACTAAGGGAAATAGGATCCCCTTGCCTCAATCCCCTGGACGAGGGAAAGAAACCATGTCTCTGACCATTTAAACACTGAATAAAACTAATTTCCCAAGCAGTTCCCAATAATGGCAACAAATCTTTTTGAGAAACCAAAGCTAAATAAGACCTTCAAAAAGTCCCACTCCAACCTATAATATGCTTTCACCATATCAAGCTTCAACATCACATTCCCAGCCTCCACCTTTCTACCCAACTCCCCCATCATCAATTGAGCCATAGAAATACAATCCCCTGCATTTCTCCCTTTAATAAAACCATGTTGCTCTTTTGACACCAAAGAAGGAAGCAATGATTTTAACCTACAGTTCAGCAACTTTGTAAAAATTTTATAAAGAAAGTTGCATAAACTAATAGACCTAAATTTAGCAAAAGATGATGGAGTCTCCACTTTGGGAATTAGAGCCAGCAAGGTCACATTCACAGCCCTAGGAATAACCCCACTTCTCATGAAAAAATTCACAGCATCCGATATATCATCCTTACTTATATCCCAAGTCATCTGAAAAAACATCCTAGAGAGTCCATCTGCTCCAGGAGCACTCTCCACCTTCATTTACCAATAGTTGAGCTTGTAACATTTGTAGATTTTTGCTCGAGTATTATATGTTGTTGTTATGACTCAAAGCGTGATATTGCTTATTTTATGTAGTGCCTTAAAATGGTGGAGGGAGGGCAGCACACCTATTAAAATTTGGAAGGTTTGTGAAGCAGCATTCTGAGCGGTTGCAAATTTACCTTAAGGTGAGCTTGTGACAGGTGTAGATTTTTCTTTGAGTATTGTATCATATTGATTTTGTGGTGCGATTCTGTTAGCATTTTTTTTTATTCTCTTGTAAAATTTTTAATTATTATCTGCGATCTCAATCTTATGGTTAAGATTTTTTTACAGTTATCAAACTATAAAGACTAATGTCGAAGCTTGAAGATCCTACACCATGTTACTTTGGATACAAATGAATGATGATGATTTTTTTCAATAATAATCAGGATTATGTGACAATTGTACACTTACTTTTGAAGAGCATACATGTTGGTTCCTTGCATGTACATCTACATGTCTATTATTTTTGGATATCTTTGAGTTTATATTCTATCTTTCATTTTAAAAAATTATTGATGTGTTTTTTGAATAATTGTGGTGGTGGTTGAAAGTTTTCGCTGTTAGTAGAAAACTTGATTTAATTATTATTCTAGATTAATCTTAAAATTTACAAGTTATGAAAAAAGGACACACATATTAATACAACAAAACCACACGCACACCCACTAATGCATAAAAAATACAAACATATTAATACACTAAAATACACATTTGCACTAAGACATTAAACCATAACATGCTTAATACATCAAAGTATACATTTACATACTAATATCCAAAAACACATACAATATTAATACATACACTAAACAAAATGTAAGTGCTCTGTACATCTCTAAGACATCCCAGCAATCCCAAATTTGCAATATATGAGTGTTAATTTGATTAGTGATCCATTTCGTAAAATTTAATAAACTGTTAATTTTGAACAATAATTAGTTTGTATGTCCATTTTGCATTTGTTTTGGTGTGTTAATATGTGTGCATTTGTGTTTGTATAATAGTGTGTTTTGGCATATTAGTGTCTGTGTGTTTGGTGGATTAGTGTTCACTTTTTTGTGGATTAGCCTATGTTAACACTACATGTGATGGAGTGTGTATTTTGGTGAATGAATGTTTGTGTGTGTGTGTGTTTAGGGGTATTAATGTGTCTAGTTTGCGGTGTATTAGTGGGTATTAATAGAGCATGCGGGAGGGTGTATTAGTATTTGTGTAATAGTGGGATGTGGTGTGTTATTGTCTATTTTTGTTGATGTATTATGTGTATTTTTTTTGATGTACTAGTGTTTGTTAACACAGTGTGTGGGTGTACATGTATTTTGGTATATTAGTGTGTTTTGTGCATTTTTTTTTCAAGTATTAGCTTCTGCGTTAACAATGTGTTTGTGTTTGTTTTAGTGATGGCGTGTGCATGTGTGCACTTTTTTTTGTATTAATTTGTTTGTGTGTGCATGTTTTTGGTGTGGTAGTGTGCGTGTTAACACGATGTATTTTTTTTGGTGTATTTGTGTGTATTTTTTCTTTATTTTGGTGTGTTAATGTGTGTTCTTAAGTGTATTAATATCTGTGTTTTTTGTGAAATACCGTTGTGTATTTGTGGTTTTGTGAAATACCTTTTATTATAGTATTTTAGTTCTTAGAATTTTGTGTTATGACTCGATGTATAATATTTCATATCGAGTGTTGTAGTAGATTAAAACGCAGGAGGAAAGACTAACCTTTTGAAATTTCGGAGGCTCATAAAACAACAATTCAAGCAGTTTTAGATTTTACCAATAGGTGAGGTTGTAACATGTGTAGCTTTTTGCTCGAGTGTTATATGCTGTTGTTATGACTCAAAGTGTGCTATTGCTTATTTTACGTAGTGCCTTAAGATGGTGGAGGGAGGGCAGTCAAATTGAAATTGGGAGGCTTGTGAACCAGCAATCTGAGTGGTAGTAGATTTACCTTAAGGTGAGCTTGTGACGGGTGTACATTTTTCTTTGAGTATTGTATTGTATTGATTTTGTGGTGTGATTTTATTAGCGTTTTTTTTAATATTTTTCTTTTAAAATTTTTTATTATTATCTCTGATCTTAATCTTTTGTTTAAAATTTCTTGTAATTATCGAACTATAAAAGACTCTAATGTTGAAGTTTGAAGATCCTACACTATGTTGCTCTGGATACAAATCAATTATGACGATTTTTGTCAATAATAGTCTAGGTTCAAGTGACCCAACCGTACACTTACTTTTGAAGAGCATACAGGTTGGTTCCTTGGATGTACATCTACATATCTATTATTTTTGAATATCTTTGAGTTTATGCTCTAGCTTTCTTTTTTAAATATTAATGATGTGTTTTTTTAATAATTGTGGTGGTGGTCGAAAGTTTTCGACGCTAGTAAAAAACTTTGATTTAATTGTGTTATTCTAAATGAATCTCAGAATTTAAAAGTTACGAAAAAAGGACACACATACATATTAATACAACAAAACACTCATGCGCAGAAACTAATACACAAAAAACACAAACATATTAAAACATCATGACACACATCTACACAAAGACACTAAATCACGCATGTAATTAGTACACACATTGTTAACTCAGTAATACATCAAAGTGTACATACATACTAATACGCAAAAACACATTAACACACACTCAACAAAACGTAAGTGCTCTGCGCATTACTAACACATCCCAGCGATCTGAAATATGAGTGTTATTTTGATTTGTGATTCATCTCGTAAAATTTATGCTCTTTTAATTTTTAACAATGATTAGTTTGTGTGTATATTTTGTGTATTTGT